GGGGGCATATGATGACGTCATACCACCATTAGAGTTTATAAATGATACTTGAGCCTCACAACGTGTAGACGTGCAGACGGCCCGGCAGCCCACTTTTTCAGGACACGCCTACAGCTAAATAAACACACCAACAGCTCCTCTATTTCACAAAACGAAATTTTCAAGTTCAAGACACAGCTGGGGTTGTTTGGGGGTTTTCGGGGGGGGGGTTGCCTTTTTTTTTCTTGGTACGGTTTTCTGTGAGATGGGAGTCAAATAAAATTTGACTGGAGCTGTAAGAAGTAGACATCAATAACCTGGATAGCCAAAACAACGTGCATGTTTCGCCGAAAAGCATATTAGACCAACTAACAGAAAGCCTAAAAACAAGATGAAAAAAGAGCAGTCCAGGCACAAGAACCCATCACCAACAACACACAGTGAGGCTGAAGGTATACTTTACGTTGTAGACACTCGACAATGAAAGACCCAGACTAACAACCTGTTCGAGTACAGGGGCTCACACAAACATAATAACAATCGTTTAGTACTGGGTAAACACATTACATACAGAAGAGTTTTAGATCTATCTTTAAAGACAAATTGACGGAACTTGCAAAACAAATAGTTTACATAAATGCCGTAGACTGGGTGATTACTAGACAGTAACAAGCAAAGAAAAGAAGGAGAAGAGATGAGGATGACAGATGTTTGACTGGAAAGAAGGAGCAAACCACATCAGAGCACCCGACAACCTCCCGCACAGACAGAACAAAAGAGGGAAAGAAAAGTAGTTCGTACGACCTATAAACGGCATGCTCCCAACCACCTGCCTGATAGCATATATTCGAAGCCACGCACAGGTTTAGTATCATATGTACATCACAAGACAGAGCATTTATTCTAGAGAGAAAAACACAGGATGATACATATGGGTGGGTGGGTGGGTGAGAACGAAGGAGGACGTACCAACAACACCTGCGGCACGGAGGGTCGTCCGTGGAGGAAGACAGAGGGTACAGTGACCTCACAGAGTCAACAAGAACACGTCACGAAGCTCGAGCGTACTGACAGGTTAGACCAATCCTATATACACATAGATCATTTATATGTGCGTGTAGACACACATACATGAAAAAAATGATATCGTATGTACAAATATTATATACGTATATGCGAGGGTGTGTGTGTGTGTGAGTGTGCGCGGGTGTGTGTGTGTGTGTGTGTGTGT